CAACAGAACCACCAGGTCCAACAGAACCACCAGGTCCAACTGAACCGTCAGGTCCAACAGAACCACCAGGTCCAACAGAACCATCAGGTCCAACAGAACCACCAGGTCCAACTGAACCGTCAGGTCCAACAGAACCACCAGGTCCAACAGAACCACCAGGTCCAACAGAACCGTCAGGTCCAACAGAACCATCAGGTCCAACAGAACCGTCAGGTCCAACAGAACAGTCAGGTCCAACAGAACAGTCAGGTCCAACAGAACCATCGGGTCCAACAGAACCGTCCTGCAGGTCCAACAGAAGCATCAGGTCAGTACTGGGTCAGTAGTGGGTCAGTAGTGGGACAGTACTGGGTCAGTAGTGGGTCAGTAGTGGGTCAATACTGGGTCAGTAGTGGGTCAGTAGTGGGTCAATACTGGGTCAGTAGTGGGTCAGGAGTGGGTCAGTACCGGATCAGTAGTGGGTCAGTACTGGGTCAGTAGTGGGTCAGTAGTGGGTCAGTAGTGGGACAGTACTGGGTCAGTAGTGGGTCAGTAGTGGGTCAGTAGTGGGTCAGTAGTGGGTCAGTAGTGGGACAGTACTGGGTCAGTAGTGGGTCAGTACTGGGTCAGTAGTGGGTCAGTAGTGGGTCAGTACTGGGTCAGTAGTGGGTCAGTACTGGGTCAGTACTGGGTCAGTAGTGGGTCAGTAGTGGGTCAGTAGTGGGTCAGTACTGGGTCAGTAGTGGGTCAGTACTGGTTCAGTAGTGGGTCAGTAGTGGGTCAGTACTGGGTCAGTAGTGGGTCAGTACTGGTTCAGTAGTGGGTCAGTACTGGGTCAGTAGTGGGTCAGTAGTGGGTCAGTAGTGGGTCAGTAGTGGGTCAGTACCTGGCAGTGTTGTAGTTGAGTTGGTGCAGCAGTCTGTCAGCCAGCACAGCTCTGTACTCATCGATGAAGATGTCTTTGCTGCCGTAGATGCTGACCAGCAGGCTGATGATGTCAGAGGAGCGTCTCTTTGAGCCCGTTTTATCTGAAACACAGAACATGTCAGACACATGGTTCTGATCAGAACATGTCAGACACATGGTTCTGATCAGAACATGTCAGACACATGGTTCTGATCCAGCTTCACAACACCAGCACCCTGCCCTCACTGACCAGTTACAGCATCTGTGGGATCTGGACTCCAGTCCTCAGGGTCGGTGCTGTCATCATCACTGTCCTGCAGCTCCAAGGAGACCGGGTCACCTCGGGACAGTTCTGAGGCCAGGTCCGCACAGCTCTCAGCGTCCCCGGTGAGTCCGGCCACGATCTGCCGCACCGTGTCGTCCCGAGTCCTGAAGACCAGACCAGCTCCACCATCAGCATGAGACAAGCCTCCAGGTTCTGGTTCTAATCCCAGTCTGGGATTAACACTGACATCATCATGTTACCATCCAACCAAATACAGCCGAGATTAGGGCTGTCCCGATACCAGTTATTTCAAGACTGTGTACAAGTACGAGTACTTCAGTTTAGGTACTCACCGATACCG